TAGATCAAAGGCTAACATCATCGTTAGCCAAGGAGACCTCATGGTAAAAACAGCCAACCAGCTTGAAGCGCGGGAAAACGCGAGTGACCGAGTTGGAATTGGTTTTGGTTTTGCATTTGATTGGTTGAGCAAACGGTGCGATTTTTCTAGACCATTCACAGAGCAGAGGTAGAGCAAAACCAAAGCAAACCAGAATCACTTGCGCTAGTCAATTGAAAACTGCTCTGGATGCATGATTGAAGATGGACTATTTTCAGCGCTATTCATATCTGAGTAATGATGCCAACCAAATTAACCCTTTAATTCCCATTAGTGACCAAGATAGAATTTCTCTCTTTCTCTCTTTCTTCTTCTACAATATCAATACAATATCAACCACATAAGCGATGAGAATAAAGAAAAGATCAATTTGGCGCTGATTAGTTGATTCAATACTAAATTCTCTGAACTAACATCATAAGAATAGTATGGTTAATGGTAAGAAGAATTACAAATTTGATCTGGGAGTTAAAGGGTTAAGTTCTTACCTTGCATTTGACCGACTGTTATAATTCCTTCCCTTTCTCCTTTATCGTTAAAGTATACTTGTCCCTACAAACAAGACAATCATTAGAAGGCTTTCCGATTGGTTGTTATAAAGTCAACACCTCGTCAATTATAACGTCCAATCAAAGGAAAGCCTAACATCTCAAGGAACCAATGAGATCTTAGAGTGACACAAAGTAGGTTCTCTCACCGAAAATCCACGAAATGAGACATTGGATAAAGACTTCTTAAACAGTCCTGCCATTTCCGAGTCACTGTAAGTAAAATCTGCCAAGCTTTTATTTTTCGCTGCGAGAACCCCGGCTGAATGGTTTAGAGCCAAAACCATAGCAACCAAGGCGTCGTGCGCAAAACCAGAATATAAACCAAGCTCGTCAAATTTATTTTTCCATGCATGGTACGCACCCTGAAATAAAAAATTCAAATAATAGTTATCAGAAAAAAAAATACTGCAAACAATTGTCCGCATTCGTTGGTAACCCATATCCTCAGAATTCGGTCATTCGCACCCTTTTTTTCTTAAGCTCTTTTGACTGTCGTGTGACTCCTTCCTATTCCTTACTCTATCTTAGATCAGTTTTTGTCCTACAATGGAAAGAAAGCCTGTTACTTGAAAGCCTTACTCAAAGGATCTTTCGATCAACATTGCACCATACCTCGCCACCTATCATGCGTGGGGAACTGGGTCCAAATTTCAGAAACTCCGTTGTGACGTAATTACCAAAAGCCTTCATCACGTGCTTAGCCTCGCAATTTTGTTTGGACAGGACTGCTGGATGTGCGTTCCACCAACGCGACTGATACCATCCTATCAACATCCAGACATACCTCTCACCATAAAGCTCTTGCTTGTACGCCTGAGGCAATCGAGGTAGAAAGACAGACAG